GTGTTATAGCGGAAGAGTTGAGATCTCAAAAAACATGTTTAACCCCGCCGCATTTTTGTGCCTGTCCCAAGTCAGGAGCCTCTGGCCTTTGTTAGTCTTGTATCATTTTTAATTCTAGTTTCTTTTGTATAATTTGGAGTTTAGTTTGACGTCCATTATCACTGAACTAGTATACATATTTGTTTAGGGGCCAGCTGAAGGACGCCTCCGGGTGCGGGAGCTTCTCGCTGCACTGAAGACCCATTGGTGGCCTTCGGCTGTTGTCTGCTCTATGGTCGGGTTGTTGTCTCTTTGACACATTCCCCATTTCTATTCTCAATTTTACTTAGATATATAAAATAGCCATTTATCCAAAGATGGCATATGTAGAAACAAAGTATGTTTAGCAAAATGCAGAGCAAACGTTTAATCAGCAATTGTATGCTGTTGCCCAACAGCAAAAATGGTCTATGGCAGACTTTGTATACTCCCACTTTTATAGAATATGAGTATTTCATGGGCTATCATCTTCTAAATATCAACAGTTGGTATGTTAGAAACTTCAGCTGGGCTATACGACTTATGTTCTGTTTTGTTTATGCTCGAAATATAGTAAACAGGTTCTTATTTGGGAACAGTGCAATCGTGGTCTTCCAGAATTATCACTGCCTTATGAGGCTCTAATGGTTTCTTTATTTAAAGCATTTTTCAATTGACTCAGAGACATACACTATAGTAAAAGTATTGTACCAAACGTATGGAAGGTGTTCCTGGGCTGTCCTAGCATATGTTGTATCTCATGGCATTGAAGATCTCTTTACTGTTTAAAGACAAATGTTTTCTTCGATGGAACTTTTTCATCCGATATCCTTCAAGACATTATTCTAACATAAAAAGGTAAAGAGCTTAAATAAAAGTTGAGTATGCTACACACATAATTGTACAAGTATTTCATCATGTGGAGGGTCTGCTTGTAGTAGGAATCGTCTTATTCAACAAGCAATTTCTGAAGAAAACGACGATGAAAACAATGTCTTATCAAAATATGCAGAGTAAGAAGCATTAGAAAAATTACTTCTTATAAATATATAACAGTAGAACTCATAGAGGGTGGATAAGATTTTACTATGCGGAATGTTTAAACCAATAGATAAACAATGAGAGTTCCGGAGTTCTGAAAATGTTGTCCACTTTGCATGTTATCCGACCCTTGTACTATAAGAAGATATGTAATGAGTGCCAATGAGACAACTCTCCATCCAAGTCAAAATTTATAAAAGTAAACCATTATAGGTCAAAGTACGGTCTTCAACACGGAATGCATTTTATGATGTTTTTGTTGTGGTTTCGGTTGGATAAAGTGTTATGTCTTATCGTTTGTGGTTAGAATTCTTTACTTTCGGTACATTTCACATATGTCTTATTTGTCAGTATAGTCGAGTTAATTTCCATTTTCCATGGATTAAGTATTGTGTTAGTCCAAATAATTACGACGTCGTCACAGCATTTATTTGAAATAGCCTTTCAAAACCATCATTATCATGATAATTGTTTAGACTAGTATTTTGAAAATAGTTGTATGAATTTCAAGATTATATATTCGTTACAAAAATATGTCACTGTTTGTGATGTCCTGTGCTGTCTGTTGTTAATGAAAGATGTTCGTTGTTATTCTGCGGTTTACATGTTGTAACGACTACTATATTATTTATTTGTGCGTTTCTCTGTGATGAGTGTTCTTGCGTTTGTTTGTGCTGTATTTCTGTCACGAAGTGTTGTCGTTTTAGCGATATATTTTATAAATATTGCCATATAAGCGGGAGGTTTGTCTAGCCATAAAACCAGGTTCAACCCACCATTTTTTCTTAAAATGCCCTTTACTAAGTCTGGAATATGGCAGTTGTTATCAAATAATTCGTTTCTACTATGTTGGGGTTTGTTTTGCTTCACAACAGTGTTTCTGTTGTTCCTTTGTTTTCCTCTTATAGTAAATGTGTTTCCCTCGGTTTTAGTTTGTAACTCGGATTTGTTTTTCTCTCAATCGATTTATGACTTTTGAACAGCAGTATAATACTGTTGCCTTCATGTATCAATATAGGAGAAGTAATATTACCTTGCAAAAACATAATCAGTACAGCCCAAACCATGCAATCCGCCTAAAATCAAATGTTCATCAGTTATTTTGATGATTCCTAGATATATAAACGGTAAATATAAGAAATTGATATGTTTATAATCGTCTCAGTGGCAATATTTGATGATGCTTAACAACTTGTACTCATATTTAGAATGCCTAATAATTTTCTCCTCAACCGACAAACCTTATCTTATGCTCGATTTTGAATAGATCACTCATATATGTATTTAGTTTTAAAGGCATTTGAATCTTTCAATCTGATAGTATAAAGAACAACTTGAAGAAGAATATGCTTCATTTGATCTTAATTTGCAGACATTATTCAGTAGTATTTCATTATCACTTTATTTTGTTCCTTTCATGTTTTTTTTTCCTGCTGTATAACTTATACAAAATGTAGTATATTTTTGTCAAGTATTGTGATAATGTAAATCAAATTGTGAATATAAAGAATATTAAAAATGTTCAAACAAGTAAATTGATCTGATCAGCAAACAACAGTCGGAAGGACATGCATTTGAATTGTATCCGTTACGGTAATATCTAGAGGAATGATTAATTTGTTTTTCTCCAATACATTACACTTTTCAATGTTATCTACTAAATAAATTGGACATGATCTTATCAATTACACTCCCTTAAAGAGTAAATTTTGATTTTAATTAAACACATGCAAAAAATGATTCATCACTTTCTATCATTTAAATTAATTTTTCTGAAAACGGTACGCTCTGTGTTAAAAACTACAAAATTATTATTTGCGTACAGTTTAAAATGCTTTTGTATATACCTTAAGTTTTTTTTATATAATTGATAAAAAATCTTGAATTCTTGTTTGATACGGTCAAATATTTTTTGTTAGACAAACAATCCTTAGATATGAAAGCTGCTTATTTTAGTTACACTGAGTATTTTGAATTAAAAGATGCTGATAATCATCTCGGGAGATAAAGTCAAACAGGTGCATGAATCTACTGGACTGTTGAGCAACTCGGAAACTAAAAGCTCCATAAGTACAGGTATCTACTGGGCGATGAACATCTCAGGAACAAAAACGTGCAATAAGTATACATTTGTAGGTATTTTCTAGGCTAATGTACATTTCGGGAACATTACGGGACGTTAAGTCCCACAAGTAAAGGTAATTACTAGGATGCTGATGAACATATCGGGAATTTAAAGCTCCACAAGTACAGGTATCATCTCAGAGCTAGAAAACAATTTGATACGGTATAAGTTTATTCGAAGTGTATTCCTGGATACCAATCTTCAGAATCGTTCTTAACCAAATTTTGAAAGTCAAGGATGTATCAATATAGGTGTTATGTTACTCCCCCCCCCCCAAAAAAAAACAACAAAAAAAACAAAACAAATCATAAACAAAACAGTACGACTCAAAGCATGCAAAGCGTCCAAAATAAAATTTTCCTTAGTTTATTTTGATGATTCCTAAATATATAAACGGTTAATATAAGACATTGATATGTTTATAATCGTCTCCGTGGCAACATTCGATGATCAATAATTACCTGTACTCATAGTTAGAATGTCTGATAAGTTTCTCCTGAACATTATCGTTTGCTCGATTTTGAATAGATCACACAAATATATATCTTTTTCTCAATATCTTTCAATCTGATAGTATAAAGAATACCCCGAAGAAAAGTTTAATTTTTCTTAATTTGCAGTCATTATTCAGTAGTATTTCATTATCATCTTTGTTTCCGGCTTTATAACTTATACAAAATTTAGTATATTTTTGTCAGGTATAATATAATGTAAATTAAATCGAGAATATATAAAATAGTAAAAATGGCCAAACTAGTAAATTAAACTGATCAGCAAACAAGAGTCGGAAGAACATTTGTAAGATAAATTGTATCCGTTTCGGTAACAATTGAATATTTTTAACACGAATATTTAATTAGTTCTTTTTCTCAAATAAAGTACACCTTTTAGTGTTGTCTTATTAATATATGACCAAGATCTTTATACAATTATTTTACTTTAAGAGCAAGTTTTCATTTTAATTAAACACATGCAAAATGTGATTCCTCACTTTCATTCGTTTAAATTAAATGTTCTCAAAACGGTACTTATTCTGTGTTAAGAGCTACAAAATATATATTATTTGCGCACAGTTTAAAATACCTCTGTATATACCATAGCTTTTCATATGATTGATATAGTCATTGTACGACCAAAGCATTACCGATAAAACATCATTTTAATTTTTAACAAATGGTAAAAAATTAAGAGATGCACGTTTAGGAAGAAGTTATATTCTACCATAAAATCACCGTCTTGAAACGGAGACGTTAAAACGAATACAACATATACGACACAGACATTTTGAAGGGCTCGGTAAACCTCGCTCTTCCCGTATTTCTCAGGCTCATACAAATAATTTGATATTTTTCTGACAATGACCTAATAATGTATATATCTCCTTTACTGGATTATGATTTCAGTACTCAAACGAGTTATTTACACATCAGCCAGTGCCTTAAAATTAGCCTGATCATAAGAATACATTTTATCTTAACTGTTCAATATTGTATGGATAATGAAAGCTATTACCTTTGATCTTAATTGCATTTTCAGTTTTTATAGTCGTTTTTCATTTTGTTCACCAAAACTAATCTCGAGAATACTTGATTATAATCATACTTGAATTTATGTGCCTGCATTCAAACACAATGCATTTAAGGCAAACATTACAAATCGCTGGAAATATAGTTACTTGGAATGTAATAAAAAATAATTCTAGGTTGAATTTAAAATAGTACATGTATCATTAACATGTTTTTACAAGGACGTACAAATGTTTACTATACGTCTGAAAAACAAATAACACATGCGCAATTTACATATGACAAACATGTTGACTAGACCGGATAACATCGGTAAAAGAGAGGATGTAAACCTTGCTATATATATAAAATTGATTTGAAATCATAAAAGATATTTCGACAGTTTTTCAAATCGGTCAGTCACAATGATGTCTATGTTTCTCCTGGGATGCGTCTATATGCTTGCACAAAGCACTGAAGGTGTAATGGGTTTTCCTAATGTGCCCCAAGAAAATCCTTTTGCTGATATGATACACGAAGTTGTCGCAGAGGAGCAATTCACGGATATAAAGGAAAATAATGTTGTTGAAAGTAACCCATTTGCAGCTATGCTACAACTTGAAACACCTGATAGTGGTTCTATTATAGATCTCGATTCTGATATACCTGACGGTGCTGACTTCATCGATGCTACTCCAATTGAATCCAACGATTTTTACAGTTTACCTCCTTTAAGTATCGAACCTGTTGTTACTCATCTCGAAAGTAGTTCGGTAATGGAGATACTAAAGGAAGAAAGAATGGCACGTCATCGGTTAGAAAAAACTGTTACTTCCTTCCAAAAGAAAATAAATTCTTATTGCGATTTTGGTGAGTTCAGAATAGAGTTATAGAAAAAACAATTATACATATTTTTATAAGAAATTTTGTAAATAAGAAATTCTAAAACAAATACAAGTAAATCCTGTAAGGAAAAAAGTTTAACAAAAATACAATGTACTGAATTTCAATGTATATTCAATAAGGGAAGTACATACCAAATGACATAACAAACATTATCAATCAACATAATGCGCGTATGGAAATGAATGATTATTTAACACCAAAACGAAACGTCTGTTTTCTTCGACATATTCTTTTTTGATTGCCCGGATGGTCTCTTCTTTGACATTTAAAGGTAAAAAGAATGGACAAAAACATAATTAAAGAGAAAATAATTAAACTATTTTTGTATTGGTAGAAAGTCTTGAAAAACACTATATGAAATTTGCATTTTTCAGTTGGTTACACGGCAACATCCAACAGCGGATCCGTATCATCTGGCACTGTCATCAAGTTCACTAACATCCAGACAAGTTATGGAATAACGAACAAGTCAACCATCACCACTTCAGGAACATTCAAGGCAGAACACAGTGGTCTTTATGTCGTAGGAGTTACAGTTAACTCAAAAACCAATGCCGCCGCCTTTAAAATATTCAAAAATACCCTACAGATAACCCAGGTTTACATCTCCGGGAATTCCGGAACTGTTGACCAAAGTGGGACTGGATTTATCGTGGTTGAGCTCGGAATCGGAGATACTATCAGCATAAAAACCGGGAAAACAATGTATATCTACGGGTCGTATTCAATCTTGACCGTAGCGAAAATCAAATAACTAGTTTTTGAACGTGGAGATTTTAAAACTTCTTTGTAACCTTTTTTTGCAAATTAAAGTCATCTTTCTTTTGAATAAATTTGTGTTGCATGTTGTATCAGTATAAATGAAAATACACACATCCCCGCGTGGACTTTTTTTTCTTTTAAATGGTAAGATACTAATTGGAGAATCAAACTCTTAAGTCGAGGTGAGATCTACAAAATCATGCTTAAAACGACAAACGACGAAAAAGAACACATTCAGTATTAAGTTTCAATGGAATATGACAATTATTCTCCATTCGTTTCATGTATTTGAGCTTTTGATTTTGCCATTTGATAAAAGACTTTCCGTTTAAACTTTTCCTTGAAGCTCGGTATTTTAGCTATTTTACTTTTTTGGTGATGTCACTATCAATAGTAACATATCCGTGGTAATCTGTGAAACACATTGAAAGGTTGGTGACTTTATTGATCGTTTCTAACCCATTGCTACTAAAATAAGATTTCCACATGACACCCCTATCCATCGACAGAACTTGGGTAATACTTACAGTTAATTTCGCGGTAGTGACATATTGAACGTTTTCAAAAGTAATTAGCCTGTTTCTCACTAAACTGAGGTTTCACTAAAAACTATTTGCAAAGGCTTGCAAACAAACGCGTACTTGTAGTTTTAAAGAACTATCTGTATCTATATCTAGTATAAATGTTAGTAAAATTTTATTGAAAGTCAAGAAAGGTCTCACGGTCAGTTGTGCGGTCTCAGGTAGTCTATTGCAATATATTTTCAGTATCAAACTGAGTCGTTTGTACAAGTTTCAATAAAGTCTTCTTCTTGTCATTTGTATATGGATATTAGCTAATTTTATCTATAATTTATTTAGGAAGACGGAATAACCAATGTTATGAAACCTTTTACCCAAATATTTCGACGATTTTAAATTGCGAAGAGACAATTTAAGCCCTCCTGACATATCACAGATGAAATATTTCTGCAAAATTTTTTTGATAGTGTCTTTATATGTACCAAGTATGATTGTTACGCGTATTCCATTATGTTATTTTCGATAAAAGACTAGGTAGGTCTCACGGCCTTTTGTAATATATTTCAAACATCAATCTGTCACTTAAGTCCTCATTACTTATATTGGAGATAGAAAGTTTCAACAATGTCCTTTTGTGGTTTTCTATGTTTATATCTATAGATAATTGCACATGTTACCAGAGTGTCTGTTCTGAAAAATAATTGACGGTAACTTCTGTGTTTATCATTTTTTTTCATGTCATCAAATGCTCAAATTCTTGTAACGTTTAACTAAAAGAATGAATATTGAACTGCTAGCAGCCAGTTGGGTATTAAATATTGAATACCAAATAACAAACCGACCGCTAAATAATTTTGTTAAGAGACCAATGAGTAACGAATTACTGGTACTATTTCACTAGTGCCTATTAGACAATGGGACTCAGAAAAAACTCTTGAATAATGGGTTTCTGAAATTTCAATCAGATAACGTTTGGTTGAATGGTAACCTAAAGATCTAAAATTAAAGCTAACTTATATCGTATCGTTTCTGTGAAAAAAAACTTATTTATAAAGGTTGTCAACTAAACACTGAAATAAGATATTTGAATATTGTTTTTATCGGAACGAATATTGATTTTGCTTTCAATAAATGAAAACATAACTAAATAAGTATTGCTATACAGCTATCAACAATTATGGTTATACATCCTGTCGCTTCGTATATTTTGACATTGCGGTAGATCATGTTTTCCTAGACTGTTTTTGACGTCTCCACATATGATCTATTGAATTTTTACTGATTGATGTGTATGTACCTGTTCCAAATCAAGAGCATGTAATTTAGTGGGTGTCCTTTGCTGCTGTTGCTCATGTTTATTTTCTTTTGAAGTTTTTTACATAATCAGGCTATTGCTATTTGTTTCTCTTTTGATATACATTAAAAACTGGGACAATGTCAAAGGTTGAGTTCAAGTGAAATACGGGGAAATTATACGCCGCCTGTGCTCCAATATGCATTGACTTGGTATAACGAATAAGATGAACAATTGCAAAATAGTAGTTAATCAATTTGATAGGACATGATTTCACCTGAGGAAAACTATGTAAACTCGAAAATACTTGGTTGATTCACTCGAAGAAAACATGATCACAAACAGACACTACACCTACCGTGATATAGATTCTAGACAATATTTTTTCCCACAAACACATTTATAATAAATTGATATATTGAAGAAAATCTAAACTATAAAACAAGAATGATAAATCGATTATCGTATGAGAGTGACATTGATTTTCATTGGAAGACATTACTACTGTAACAGTCATTTGTAAACGTTTGTATGATTATTTGTGTTTTCATTGAAACGACAAACAAGAATTTATATATAACCGTTTAGATGGAAGAACAAGAGATTTCTATTAATATTGAAATGGATTCAAATTTTTACACAATCATATAAATATTTCAGAAATGTGTGTTAGGTTTTTAAATTATTTACATATATTTAAATTTAGATTTGTAAATATAATTCTATTCTTGCCTTTATATTTTATAAATTGACTAATAGAACAGTCTCTAAACAAGACTTAAAACATTGATTATGGTTTACTCCATATAAGTTCGACTTTTCATCATCGGTAACAGTTTAGGTTATATTTCCAAAAAACAATACATTGATTGGTTGTACTCACGTCTGAAACAATTGAAATACAACTAATAATTCGATGTTATTTCTTTTTGTGGTACGATCCGAACATTTTCATTATCAATTATTCTTTAGATTGAGTAAGGATGAATTCGTAAAATAAATCATAAAAGAGGGACGAAAGATACCAGAGGGACAGTCAAACTCATAGATCGAAAACGAACTGACAACGCCATTACAACGTAATAGTACAGATGACACAACATAGAAAACTAAAGACTAAGCAACACGAACCCCACCAAAAACTGGGGGTGCTCCCAGGTGCTTCGGAAGGGTAAGCAGATCTTGCTCCACATGTGGCACCCGTCGTGTTGCTTATGTTATAACAAATCCGGTATATAGTCTAATTCGGTAGGTCACATTCGTGAAAACGGAAGGGTATTGTAGTTACGACATTAGGAACATATCCGATATCATCTGTGAAACGATTATTCCATAACGGTCAACCAACTCGTGATGGCGTCCGTAAAATTAACGAAAGGATGATTTCAACTTCACCATTTGGAACTCTTGGTTTAATAGCATCCTTGTGAGCAGCAATCCTCTATCAAGGAAATCATGATAGGAAATACAAGCCCGGGAATATCGTATCAATTGGGAGATATATACTCCGTATGAAAGCGCTGCTGGAATGTTGCTACATAGAAATAGAAAGTTCACAATTGGGAAGCTGAAATCATCTCTTTTGTCGTAAAGTTTTGTTTCCATCCGACCCTCAATGTCAATTTCTAGATGTAAGTCAAGATATGAGGCAGATTTAACTGTATCTGTAGTATCCTTTATCTCTAGTTCGATGGGATAGATTCGTTCAACATAGTCACCAAATTTTGTATTATTTAGTGAGAGAACATCATCTATATAGCGGAACGTAAAGTTAAAGGATATGGCTAACTTCTTATCTTTCTTCCTAAGAAGTTCCTGTATGAAGTCAGCCTCATAATAATAAAGAAACAAGTCGGCAAAAAGAGGGGCACAATTGGTTCCCATTGGAATTCCGACAGTCTGTTGAAAAACACGTCATCCAAACGTAACAAATATGTTGTCAATCAAGAAATCAAGCATCTTGATAATGTCAGTTTCAGAGAATTTTTTGTTTGAATCAGAGTGATTCTTTACAAAGTAGGATTTATCCCTCTCCAAGACTAGATACTTGTATCAACGTTCGCCATTCTTTTAAATGAAACAAAGTAATACTAACTCTTTCAAATTGTCTTTTAGTTTGGAATGGGAAATACTTGTGTAAAGTGTAGAAAAGTCAAATGTTTTAATACTATTGCAAGATGAGAGAGCCTAAGATTGTATGTAATTTTTTAGTATCCACATCTGATTCACGCCACCTCTAGAATAGGCAGTTTCACAATAACTTTGGAGCCCGGCTTTGATTGCTGATAAAATAGATGTTTATAATTTAGAAAGAGGTTTCGTGGAGCACTTGGAAGACACAGCAATATACCGTTGTTTGTAAGGACACTTAGTTGAGGTATCCAATACAGTGATGGAAGATCCAGTTCTTCATCTTTGGTTGAAATTCCAAAGGAACATAGAACAAACCTATGATTATCCAGGATTTCCTCTTTGGTAAGTGTCGTGAGGGTATATGTTGAGTTTTCAAATGAATTGTCAATACCTAATTCATTTATCAAGTAGTTTATGTAATGATATTTACACACAAAAACGATGTTGTTTGGGGCTTTATCTGCGGGAACAACAACATATTTGTCATGGAGGTAGGACAAGTGTTTTGCAACATTTGGGTCTTTAAAAATTGACGTAGCGTGGATATTGATAGACATAAGCAGCAAAATAAGTATGTAATTTGAATTTTAATGTGGAGTTAATTTTGCCAACACTTATAATTTATTATTCTTTATCCAATTTAGTGATGACCGATCATCATATAAAACTTGGAGTTGTATATAAGATACGTAACCATTGTTGAAGACCGTTTAGTAATCAGTGGATATCGCTCTTTTGGACAGGAATGATAGCGATGTGGTTTTTCTGTTTAAAAGACTTAAACACATTAAGAAAATATAAGTCACTAACTAATGTATTAAGATGAAATAAAGAGAAGGAACGATTAAATATTTTTTTCGCGCATCTACTTGAAATACCGGTTTTATACTATCGAGAAATAATATAGCCATATAGAGAGTTTTGAAAACTGCAATAATTTGAAAGAAAAACTTTTAATAGTAGAAATGTGTTTTGCAAGTTCAGCAAGGATGTATTCTTATTTATACAGATATCTTTATAAAAAAAAACTAAAAATAAAATAAGCATTACCAAGAATATTAATAAAAACACAAACAACTAAGACTTTTATAATACTTATGAATTATTTTATAAGAAGAAGAAATAGATTTAAAACTACCTAGAGTTAATATTCCTGTTTGAATGGTTTAACACTAGT